CATCTTCAAAACCAGCAGATTCAACTGAGATTCAGATCAACTCAAAGATGGAGTTCCTCCACAAAGAACAATGTCAGAAGGTTTTATTCTTGAATGTCTTTTTGTAGAGTTGGGGTACTCGAACTTGAACTCGGACTCGAGCCCAATTTTGAATGAACTCGGACTTGTCACGCACTCGGGTGAATTTGTACTCGGACTTGACACGGACTTGAACATTTTAGAACATTCATAGATTTTTTTTAGTACATCGAAGGCATGTACATGAAATGGTTCTGTAACATCTCCTAAGCTCCACAACATCCCAGCATAAACACTCCCGATAAAATATTTGTTATTTAGGCTAAGCATGGACATTCACAATAATGTTCACATATGTCTCCAAACCCTCCCAGAATAGGCCACTGTGACCTAAAAGACAATCGTAAAACATTTCATCATAACTACAGGTCGACAGCAGCAAAGTTTCCCTCTGCACCTGAAGGTCGGGGTGGCCATCAAGGGGGTCGCGTCCAAACGGCTTCAGTCATTAAACAAATATTACAAATATACTGTCTTTATGTTGTTTCTACATTAATTTTAAGATTAAATGTGAAATTATTACAATATAAAAGTATTTAATAATTATTTTAATGTTAGGTGGGAATAATCGCGATTAATTTCAGAAAAAAAAACATGCAATAAATTAGTTTTAGTTTTTTTTTACCGATTGACATCACTAATCTATTTATTTGTGGGGTTGAATACCACCACTTCTTTTTTCACTTCAAGCACTGATTGTGTATCATATTCACACCAAAGTCCATTTCTGAGTTTAAATCACACGCCAAATAGAAACAGAAAATCGTGCTATTGATACGCATTTTCATTTCTTTAAATGGCATATCTGTCACACATTCTTAGCAGCTCATAATTATTTGTTGTACCATAGTTCTGCCCCTCTCAAAAGTAACAAAAAAGTTTTTAACAAAGTTAATGTAATGACTTGTGCTTGATGATATTTGTCATCTGTTATTCACCTTGATTTATGGAGTAAAGTGGATTTCTTAACTTGAAAATTAAAAGTACTTATGTTAAAATAGCACAGAGCAATAACATATTTTACATCATGCTAATGCATATACAATCTTTGTAATGTAAGTAATAATAAAATAAAGGGACGGTAATTTAACAATATGTTAATGAGTGGTGAATTTTGTACAGTCTTCCAGTTACAACCGTACAACCAACAAAAAATGACTAAATGTAAAAATGACTAAATGTACAACTGGCTCTTTGAGGGCAGCCATAATGTTGAAGTGGCCCTCAGTGAAAATGAGTTCCACACTGAGACTCGTTTCTAGTGTTTAGTTCTGGATGAATCATGAGGATCAAACAGTGAACACAAAACACCAATTCTGCAATTCTGCTGAGATCTCACACATTAATGCTGAATGTGTCAACTGTTAG